AAGCTGTACCTGTCCCAGGGAGGGTCTAGGACTGGTTCGGTGAAGTCTCAGCCCTAACCACTGACTGTAGCACTCTGCGGCCAAAGGCCACATCTGCAGATGCAAAGGACTCCAGTTTGTAGTTCTTGATAAAAGCCGACAGAGTGGCCCAAGTCGCGGCCCTGCAAATTTCCTGCAAGGAGGCCTGAGTAGCCCAGGACGCTGAGGTGGCCACACTCCCTGTAGAATGCATGGTATTTCTTACCCGGCACCTGTGAGGATTGGGACTGGTAAACCAATGAAATGCAGGCGCTCAACCACCTGCCTATGGTAGGGGAGGTAACTTTATCGCCTAAGGAAGCCGGCTGGAAGGACACAAAGAGAATCTCAGATTTTCGAAATTCAGACCTGCGTTTCAAATAAATCTTGAGAGCCCTCCTTACATCCAAAGTGTGCCACTTGTGTTTCAACGGGGGGGGGGGGCGCGACCAACACGACCTTGTCCTTCTCCGCAATGATTTTCTGGATTACTCTGGGAAGAAGAGGAAATGGAGAAAAGGCGTATAGGCGGCCAGGTGGCCAGCTGCATCGCAAGGCATCCACCCCCTCCGACTGTTGTGCTGGGAACCGAGAGTAGAACCGCAGGAGCTGGGTGTTGTTGGGGGTGACGAATAGATCGATCACCATCATGTCGAATCTGTCCACAATGTCCTGGAAAATCGAGGGGTGCAGGTGCCATTCAGAATTGTCCAGAACCTCATGGCTGAGCCAATCTGTCTGCACATTCGCCAAAATATGCTCCGTGGTGAGAGAAAGCAAGTTCCTCTCGGCCCAAAGTCCCAACTTCATGGCTTCGTCCACGAGGGACCATGATTTGGTACCCCCCTGGCGGTTTATGTGCACCTTGGCAGACACATTGTCTGTTAACACAAGCATGTTTACCCGCCACTGATGGAAGGAAGTGACGGAGAACCAGGTGAACCACCCTCAACTCCAGCCAGTTGATATTGTGGATGCGGTCCACCTGGTCCCACTTGCCTTGTGCTACCTGGGCCTGAAGGTGGACCCCCCAGCCAAAAAGACTGGCATCTGTCGTGACAGTCAAAGAATCCTGGTCCTTGAAAAGTTGGCCATTGGTGATGGCCTGAGACATCCACCACCTGAGGGAATGGGAGATCTCCGCCGGGATGCGCACCTTGGCCAAGAAACAGCTTAAGAGTCTCCTCTGAAAAGGCAAGAGGAACCACTGGAGGTCTCTTGAATGCAAATGCTCCCAGGGAACAATCCCAATGGCCGACACCATGTACCCAGCAATTTAGAGAGGGAAGCCAAGGAACACCTCCATGTCCTGGACGCCTGAACTGCCAAGGCCCTGAGAGAGTCCTGTCGATTGCGGGACAAGAAAACCCTGCATTCAGCTGTGTCAATCAACGCCCCCAAATGCACCAACCTGGTGGATGGATGGAAGTGGCTCTTGGGTACACTGATCAAGAACCCATGGTCCTGAAGGGCCTGAATGGTAGTTGCCAGGTCCCTTCGTGCCTGCCTGGGTGACGAAGATTGAATAAGAATGTCATCAAGGTAGGCCTGTATTCTAATAGGCACCTCCCATAGTGCCACGACCAAGGCCGTTAGCACCTTCATAAATACCCGAGGTGCCAAGGACAGTCCAAAGGGAAGGGCAGTATATTGGAAATGCTGCCCCAGGTAAGAAAAATGGAGAAACTGTCTATGGAGGGGCAAAACAGGAATATGGAGGTAGGCCTCCGTTAAGTCAATTGAAGTTAAAAAATTACCATATCTGATGGAACCCAAAATGGCATGCAAAGAATGCATCTTGAAATGTTAATAACAAATGAACTTGTTTAATTTTTTAAGATCAAGGATGGCTCTCCAGCCCCCCGAGGCCTTAGGAATGACAAAGATTGAATAAAACCCCAGCACGCATTCGTTCGCTGGTACCGGTTGTATTGCCCGTATGTCAAGGAGATGTTGGACCGCCTCCTGCATGAGACATCTGGGAGCTGGGTTGGATGAGACCAGGCAGGTCCTGAAGAGCCTAGGGAGCTTGGAGATGAACTCAAGGGCAAGACCTTCTCTAACAGTTGATCTAACCCAAACGTCGGAGGTGGTTGTGTCCCACACATCAGCAAAGAGGGACAACCTACCCCCGATAGAATAACTGGCCCCTGAGGTGTCCTCTTTGCAGTGTGAGGTCTGCCTTCTTTTTTTCTGACTTCAGGACATCCTCTGGAGCCCCTGGCATATGGGCTGGCGTATAGAGAGCGATTACTGGAGCATCTATATTAGGGATAGACAGAAATTGTGCCAATTCATTAGCAACATTGAATTTTTTTTATCTGAGGCGGAGGGGCTTGGCCCAGATGTGGGAGCTGCCCATTGTCGCTGAATTAAATCCACAAATATCATTGGCACTGTTTCAGCTTGCAGAAACTGCTCAGAATACAAGGATTCAGCGCAAACAATTGCTGGTTGAGGGGTGGAAGCTGCTGGCTGGGACACAATTTTTGAGACTACTTTGGCTTTGCATAGCAAGGATTGGAAAAGAGTCGGAGGGAATAGGCCTGAGAAGATTTTTTGCTCCGTCTCCCTGCCCTCATCCTCAGATAGCTCAGCCTCCTTGAGTTCGCCCTCCTCTGATTCAGAGGAATCATCCTGGTCCTTCTGATCAGATACCACCTGCCCTGCAGGGTCTGCCATTGGAGTAGGACCCAGCGGTGTTGCTACAGGGGCATTAGCCTGTCTTTGTGCCAGGACATCCCATTGTTGCAACCCTGCTGTGATGCCCTGTGATATGGCACTGGCAATAATATCTTGAAGTTAGCCAAATACATAGGATGTGTCTGGCCCAAAATTGCTGCGCTGGAGGTGGATGGGAGCGCATCCATTCTCTGGACAGCTGGTGGAAGCATGTCATCCCTGACAGGCAGAGAGGCCTGAGGCTCTTGAGCAGGTCCCCAGATATTTGAGACTTCAATAGGAAAGATGGGATTAAGAGGAACCTCCCTATTCTGACTGCTCCTGGGGAAAGCAGCAATGATAATTGGCCTTGAGCTGGAGGTGGCTGATTAGATGGCTGGGTGGAAGAAGCCTTTTTACTGGCTGCTTTCTTATAAATATGTTCTAGTGCTTTGTCTTTTTGCTTTTCATAGAGCAAACTGGGCTTAGATGACTTTTTTGATTTTTTTGCTGTAACTGCGGTTCACACAGTTTTCTTACTAGAATTGCCCAATTCCCTGCCATCAGTTGTGGAGGACAAGGGGAGGAATGAGGTGCCAAGGCCCCTTCAGATGACTGAACGACTTGTGCCTCCTCAGGCAACTCTGGCGGCGTTGTGGCAGTTTCAGCATTAAGAGCGGCCGCCATGCTCGCTACTGACAGAAACTGCCACGGAGCCCACGCTTAAAAACAATAAGATCGCTATTAACGCTGTTCGCACAGTCACTTTAGCAGCACTTCAATCAAAATTTTTGTGATTTTCTTCCCTTTAACTCTTCCTTTCGGTTGCTCTGCAGTAGCGTTTATTTTGTTTATAATATAGTCACAGAGCTGCCGTGGTTCGTTGCTCAATTGTCTGACAGGAGCGGCGGAGCGTGTTCCCAGCAGGGAGCTGAGGGAGCAATTAACACCTCCGATGGGATGAAAGGGCAGTTAGAAACTTGAAGCCGAAGGTAAGCATCGTTGATTTTGAGGCGAGGGAAGCCGTTTGCAGCCGTTACAGTCGTTCCAGCCCTAGCGACAGCTTACGTGCCCTGACAGGGCTTAGAGGCTCAGACCCCTTCCCAAATCACTGTCCCTGCGAGGGACGTCTGATAACGGGGTCTCGTCCAATTCTTGACAACTTACTCACAAACTCATTAAAATAACAATCCAACGATTTTAAGACCGGAGAAAGACAATGATGCAGCTGCCCTCATGGAGGGACTGAGTCGAAATCTGGGTCTGCCTAGCAACAGGGGCGTGGCTTAACAACTTTACCAGACTCAGTCCTCGCGATAAGTGGATGAAGGTTAACCCAGCCTGGATACTGCCTCGACCACTATGGAGAAGATTGAACTAAAAATTACAACAGTTAATTATTCCTGTTTGACAGAGACCAGATGCACTAAAGGTTGCCCAGTAAATCTGTATCGCCTATCTATAGGATTCCAAAATTAATGTCCACTAATGACCCCATAACACTCACTCATCTGGCCTCAGAGCAGCTTCCTTTTAGGAACCTTGTTCCATTCCCCAGTAGCTGCAAGCATGCACTGTGACTTCCACCTATGACCATAGGACATCTCCTGCGGCTCCTGAATTGTCTTTGTTCCCCTCCACTTTGGCCCTGCCGGTGCAGAGCAGAAGGGAAAAAAGGTTCTACGACTTGGGTGATTCTTCTACTGGGTGGCATTGGGTCAGCTGCCTTGAGCAGGAGGTTGGACTAAAAGACCTCCAAGGCCCCTTCTAACCCTAGGATTCTGTGTTCCTATGTTAGACTTGCATCAAAAGCATTAGTTAGTTTTCAACTTACATCCATTTATTTAATGACTGCTGAAAGCTACAATGGTACTGAAAAAAAGTGAGTAATGACCAATTCGCACATTTATGACTGTTGTAGCATCTCCACAGTCACAGGATCAAACTTCGGATGCTTCGCAACCGGCATGTACTTACAATGGTTGCAGCATCCCAAGGTCCTAGGACTGTCATTTGCAATCTTCCTAGGGAGTTTCTGATAAGCAACATCAATGGGTGAAAAAGATTCACTCAATGACTGTATGATTCATTAAACAATTGTAAACATTCACTTAACAACCATGGCAAAATGGTTGTAAAACAGAGCATGATTCACTTAACTGCCTTGCTTAACAATAGAAATGTTGGGCTCACTTGTGGTAATAAATCAAGAATGACCTGTATCTGAGTTATTTGATACTGAAACAACAGAAAGAAGAACACAAAATATACTCAGAATTTTACCAATTTTTTTCCATTCTCTACTTTTTAAATTTCTGTACCTTGTAGGAGGCACATCAATGTTTGAAGATACAACTTTGCGCTTCTGTTCAAGAAGACAGATAGAACGAGTATTTTCTTTTTCATGATCATGAATTCTGCCAATTTTTTTGGTGTCTGCTGTTTTTGAATCTTCTTCCTTCATAGCCAACACAAAAAATTGCTGATCTGAGAGTTTTTGATTTAGATCACTTTTTAGATCTTCCTTTTGAAATGCTGCAAAGGTCATTTCACGCTTTATGCTGGTTACCTGAAAAATAAAATACATATATTATTAGGTTTCTCACAATTCATTTTAAAAGAGTGAGTAGACTGGGTTAGCCCCGACCCTGCTGACCTTGGGGCATTGGATATGCAATTGACTTTGTTGATGGTTAGTTGCTCTGTGTTTTCATTTTATATAAATTTTATTCGTTTTATTTATTGTACTGTAACCCGCCTAGTCACATATGAGTCACATATATGAGATGAACGGCCACATAAAGCAAATAAATAAATGCTGGTGCAATGTGTTTTTTTTGGGGGGGGGGACATGTTACTCTACATACAAAATTAGGCCATGTAATTTATTATAGATCTTTCTTGTAAAAATCAGTGCTGTTGGCCAGCATATTTTGATACCTGAACAGTACTTGCTATCGTAAAAATATTTCCGTAATGAAGCTTGAACAGGATACCTTGCCACTAAAAATAATTTTTTAGCAAAGAAACTGTCAAAATGTCTAGTTATATTTCATTTATGATGTAACTGTGGAGTCATTAGACATGTAGGAGAAGCTTCTAAACAATTTTGATCAGCTTTCTATATTTTGGATATCAGAAGATATTTTCTTCCCTAATAGACAAAGCTGACACTGTCTTATCCAAAATGATCTTGTCTGGCCAGTTGGGACATGAAGAGAGGTACATCTTTTACTACCTCCTCCACAACCATCAAAACTACCCCTTGCATTACACTTGAAATTCACAGGAATGTGGGTCAGAACACAGGACTTTTTGGAGGTAACACCATTTCTGGAAACTGTTCCACATGAAGATAGATACATCAGGTCCTCACTCCCAATTTTCAGGAACCTATCCAAAACCTTTCTTATAAAACAAGATAATGGTTTTCATGCTGAGCTGTAGAGATTGAGAATTTCATCTAATTTATTATTTTATTTTTGAACGTATATGGAGATTCTCATTCATTCATCCATGTCATGGTTGTCCCAAAGGTGCTTTTTTCAAGAGGCAACTGGACTTTCAAACATCCTTTTTCTCAGGTTATTCTACCTCATGGGATTCTGCTTGTGCTCTGAGATTACCAGTCCAGGTGGCAAATAAATGTAACCAACAATGGTTATGTAGATCAGGCTTATTTGAAAGTGAATATGTTCATTGATATGTCTCTTTTTTATTTCTTTTCCCCAAAAAAGTTCTTTTAAAATTGGACTTCATGTTAACTATATACCGGTATTTATCACTAAAACTTTCTCCTCATGAAAAACCGCATGATACTTCAGTTTTGTGAGATTAGGAGTTTAGGAATAATTTGTCAATTTCTTTGCCTTCCAGATTTTAGGCAACTTACTTGAAAGTACTGTACCTTCTTTTAATTATTTGTTTGCAGAGCTGGACTGAAGGGAAAGTCCATAGTACTTTACATTCTCCAAGCAGCAGAACAATGTACTAGATAATTGAAGTTACAATGAGGCTTAGATTCATTTTTGAAGATCTGGTAGTTAAAAGAAAGATTCGCAATACAGAAAGATGTATTCATTTCAATATGACACATTTAAAGGATAAAACACTATAGCAGTCCCTATGTGCACGTCTAAATATTAGAAGCAAAAAATGTTTAAAAATATTTTTAAAATCCAGCAGCTATTTCATAAATAAAATTAGAACAATTATTTAAGAACAAAAAATGATTTCCAAGCTTTTTATCTTTTGATATACAGCCCAATGACACAAGACTAAGAAAACATATTTCCTCTATATTTTAAAGCAAAAGGCTCAAAATATTAAATAAATTCTATTTTCATAAGTAAAACTTTCACCGAAATAATCATGAACATATTTGAAGGAAAAACGGCAGAAAAGAAGTTATTTGACAGAGAAGCTGATTTTCAACCATTTACAGTAGCTCTGCAGAAACTTGATGCTAATTCTGAGACAATTCACTAAATCTGTGTAACTAGATAATGATTTAACACGGCTTTGCGTAAGATGTCTTCATAATGGTGGTTAGCTAGCTGTGTATATCTTTCAGAAAGCATAACATTTATTTTTATACATCATCAGGGATCCATTATTTGGGACAAGCAAAATACTACAAAGAGAGATTAATCAGTGTTTGGATAGTAGCACAATTAATTGGTTAAAGACAATTGCCAGTTTAAAAACTTCAACCAGCTACTATTTCATAACATATTAACCTAGCTGTTACATGATATGCTGAATTATAAACTAATCTTATGCAATACGTTTGTACAAAATATTTAGGCTAAAAAAAAAGTTAGGCAACTTGTGGTCTAGTGTATTGTGCTAATGTACCCACCATAGCACTATATATGTTCAAAAGCCTTGTAAAGTCCATTATATAGCTAACTTTATATATGTATGTGTAAATGTACCAATAAGTATGGACACACACACACACACAGTATTATTTCTATATGGGAAATAGGAACCATGACCATTTTTCCCCAAACCAAATTTATTTCATATGCTCACCACATTTGAAAATAAGTGAACATTAAAGTTTGCTTTTGAATTATTTAAATCACTTAATAAATATTTTCAAAACCATGTTTTCAGAAATTCTGCTTCAAATATAAATATTATCAGGGCTTGTTCCAGATCTGAAGGCTTATCTACATAATACTAAACTATGCTATAGTCCTCTACTTATAGCCATTCATTTAGTTCAAAGTTACAAGTTGAGTATTTATATTTTTATTGCATTTTGTTTGTGTTGTGTATAGGTTTTATATAATTTTATCCTTTTAATGTTGTAAGTTGCCCAGAGTTATCGTGTAGTAAGATGGGTGGGCAATACATTTAATAAATAAAATCTATATTACTAATGTATTGAAAAAAATTAAGGCAGATGCATTGTCGACGGTGATGGGATATAGCAGCAACTTTCTCTCTCATGGTTTCCTTTTAACTCTTATTACCTATCTTGTATTGGGAGTTGAATTCATTCAATTGACACGAATAATTTCTAATGAATTAATTCAACATATTGTAGCCTAGCTGTTATTTATCCTTGCTCTCCTAGCTTTTTCCTACCTTTTTCTACCTTTTTAAGAAAGTTGCCTGAAGTAAGGCAATCATAAACAACTTTTACAGAACTTACACAGATCTGCCATGAAATCACCATGAGTACAGCCTGATTTCCAATAGGTTTTATTTATTATTGAATGGAAATATAATGCCCTTTTAAAGCCAGATTTGTACATATTTAGACTCCGGGCCAAGATCTGTGGACTGCGGGTTGGGAGGAGCATCTTTTACTATCCTCCTTAAGCAGCAATATCAGTTGAGATTATGCTGCCACTTTTTATAATGCAGCTGCACATATTTTGCTACATGCTGGGATAGTGAACTTAATTTCTTATTCACATTAAGAGGATTACAGTCAAGAGATATTAGATGACAAAAAAGCAAGTCAGCTTGATTTGGGTTAAAATAATTCAGTGCAGGTTCCCCCCCCCCTCCAAACTTGGCAATTTTATGTTGTGTGGATTTCAACTCCTACTGGCTGGGACTTGAAGTCCACATCTATTAAAGTTATACTATTAACTCTTGACCCAAACCTAGTATCATGATTGGAAGAAATGGTTCAACACTGAATATTCTCAGTCTTTGTAATTTATGTGCTTTTGCCTCCCTGATTCAATTCACTACAAGGGACAGAAATGTTTTGAGACCTGAAGTACACACAGCCCACAGAGATCCATCGGAACAGGAGTACGGTAAACTGGAAGCATAATTCCTAATCTCTTTGAGAAGGGGAACAAATGAAGTGTTAGTACTGAGTTATGTATGCCACAGTTAAATATTAAAGAAAATTTCTCAATCCCATTTTCAAATCCTGCCATCCCCATACTTGTGATTTGGGTCTACCCACTCTGTGGCTTCAGGCCTGCTCTAGATATTAAACAAAGCCACTGTCCTTCAAGAAGTAACCAACCTCACTACACAGATAATTAAACACTACTGGAGACAGATTACAGGAGACAGAATTCACAAGTTAAAGTACTTTTGAGAATTCTTAAAACATTCACTTTTGGATTTTAAATCCCAAGCATTCTACCACTGGAGGAGAGTCGTGTTAATTGATGGCACAAAAAAATCAGAACACCAATATGCTTATCCATGTTACTAAAACCAACATGCTTATCCATGTTACTAAAATTTGTTAGTATTTGATATATTTGATATATGACAAAATGCCTACCATATGTTAGAATGAGAAGTATGATTCAACGCATCTTGAGTAATTTTGCTAGTTTTCAGAACTTTCTACCAAGTTTACAAAATAATTTCCAGTGAAATAATCAATAATGGCAAATAAACTATGCAAATTATATATATATATATTTTATTTGACATATATATATATATATATATATATATATATATATATATATATA